CCCACTCTGTCTCTGGTGAATCCTCTCACCTCCCCTGCACCTCTGGCCTGTACCCCAGTTCTGTATGCATAAATAAATAAATCTTTAAAAATAAAATCCTGCTGTTGTACCACAGATTGTAGAAAATTACCCCAATTGAAGATCAAAGTTCAAAAAGTTTTGTTAAAGAGATGCATCTGTGGATGAAACGAAGTGAACATTAACTATATAAAAATTATTATTGCCTTGTAGGATTAAAATTATAGAATTAAATTACAGTTTAGTGGCCCTGCCTGGTGGTGCAGCGGGTTAAACCACTGCACTGAGAAGCTAACGCCACTTGAGCATGAGTTGATCCCGGGTGGTCCCCAGAGGTAACCGACATGGTGTGGCAGACCTCGCCTGACTCGCCCGCAGCTCCCCTCAGCAGTGTACTTTGTCGATCTGCCACTTCTGCTCCCCACTCTGTATCTGGTGAATCCTCTCACCGCCCCTGCACCTCTGGCCTGTACCCACTGGTAAGATTTGAAAAAATTATGACTACCCATGTCTTGAAAAGGTCAAAACTTATTTTTTAAAAAAAACAGCAAAAAATAGTCCTCTTTTCCTGCTTTACTCATAGACAAATGAAAATGCACTGTAAGAGCAATTATAAGTGAAATGCGGCCTTACCCAGTGGCACAACGGGTTAGGACGCAGCACTGCAAGCTAGCTGCAGCAGCTTAAGTGAGAGTTCAATCCCTAGCCCTGGGGGTGATCCACACGGAGCAGCAGACCTCTCCTGACCTGCTCCCCTCAGAAGTGTATTCATCAGTCTGCTGTTCTTCTCCCCACTATCTCTGCACCTCTCACCATCCCTGCACCTCTGGCTTGTACCCCAGTTCCATATGAATAAATAAGTAAACAAACAAACAAATAAACGAAATGCATAGCAGTGCACCTGATAAAAAAAATGTTTTGAGCAGAAGTATCTTCTCAATCACTGCTACTTATATTAGTTTTTAGATAGCCCTTAGGTTTGGTAAGATTTAATGAGGATAGTCCTTTAACTACTATGAAATAGTATCCTTTTAAAAAGAGTCATTAAAAGCAATTGTAAGCCATAGAGATTGACTTTGCCATAAGAGACCTTAAAACTATCAAAATGCCAAGCTTTATAATTGAGCACTCCTAGGTTCTGACCTCTTTTTCCTGTAGCCTTGGCTGGATTGGTATCTACCTTGTTTCTGCATTTGTGACTTTTGACTTTTTGATCTCCATTTTTTTAAACATCAAAATCAGAAAGCACACAAACACACCTCAGGTAAGTTCTTGAAGTAGTTCTTACCCCGTGTTTGACGGTAGATTCATACATATGTTACTTCACATCATAAAGTCAGGTCAGTTTTCCCTCACTTAGATCAGATCTATGCTTTGTGGTTTCCCACCAGGAATCACCCCAAGAGGCCAGAGTTGTAGAATTTCTTTATCCTTGCCCACTCTTAACATGGTTTCTGCCTTATAATCTGGGTGAAAATATTGTGTGACTTTAACAGAGGTCCTTCTATGAAAGTAAAAAAAGTATTCATTTGCTTAATGGTTAGGGGAATGCTAGCTACTTTATTCTCTGTTCCAATCGATGAGCATGGATTTCTGGAGTTTCAGAATGTTTCAGAAATTGTATCAGATTCTGTCCATATTTTCCATTACAGTGCATATTTTCAATGGAAAAATAGAATTGTATGAACAGGTTAGATATTTTTAACTTCTGATAGGTGATTATGAATTATAGATAACATAAATTACACTGGGTTAGACATCAAAATAATATGGTTGAAATTCCAATTCTCCTGTTTTCTAGAAATGAGTTGGGAGAAGTCACGAATAGCTCTCTGCCTTTTTTTGTCAACCACCTGTCTATTTTAAATGTTAAGGATGTTTACAAGCGCTTTTTAGAAATGTATGATGCTTCTTCAAATTATTTGACAATATCTAGGTTATCACAAAATGACTAACTTGGAAAAATCAGTCTATTCATTATTCTTTCTTTAAATATATATATAAAAAAGATCCCTATATGTGTGAATTATGCATACTAACTGTTTCCTAGTATTTAATAGAGGGCAAAATAAAATGTAAAGTTCAATGTATACTCTAGAGACTATGTCAAAATTATATATTCCTTTTAAGAAAAACTGAATGACATTTAAATGACATTTTTCTGTTCTACAGAAACCAAAAGCAAATACCAAAGTAATTTGTAAGCGTTGCAAGGTAATGTTGGGAGAGAATGTGTCATCAGGTAAGAATTTCATTAAAAAAAAATTGCTTTGTAAAAAAAAAAAGCGATTTTGTCAATCTTCAACCAAAGCTCAAATATAGTGAAGAAATTGATCAGTTTAACTAAAATCATGTGTCTTAAAAAAATGATTTTATAAGGAAATAATGTATGGATATAGATATTTAGTATATGTTGTAGAATTGATGCTTTTGAAAATAGAAACCAACCAACATAATCAGTCAGATGCTAAAAGGTTTATGTGCTTTAACCTTTACAAGTACAGACATTGACGTGCAATCATTGAGATTTTGGATTATTTTCAGTATGAAATATTCTCTTTTGTAGATATAAGGCAACAGTAAAAAGTTTATATTCAGATCTGTCTTAAAAACGATTTGACCATTTTTTCTTAATACAACTCCTTGTTCAAAAATATTGGTTGCTGTGGATGATGGAGACGTTGCTTCTCTGGCAACCATTTGCCTAAGGGCTATTTTTGGGGGCTGGGGATGGGAGAGAACCTGTTGAATTGGAAGAAAACACACTCTGAATTTTATAATCTGTTTCCTGTTCATTTCCTCGTTAATGTTAATTATACCTTAGTAAAGTCTAAGTTATATTACTTTAAACCATAATAATGAAGATTCTGATAAAATATGGTATAAAATGTCTAGAAAACTGCATGCTGTGTTAGCTTTGTGGGTGATGAGTAATTGCTATTAATATAATTAACAAGATGATGTGATTTAAGTGAAACTGTTGATTAAATTATCAGAATCATCTAAGTCACTGCTTGCTCAGAAAAAGCAGAGAAATGAGTAGGGGTAAAGATGTCACCTTCAATGTCATTTTTGAAAAATGAATGCAGATCCCTTTAGCAACAACTTAGAATTTTAAGGCTTCCAGTGAATTAGGTTATATTGATTTTAAAAATTTGTTTCTCTCCTCCCTGAAGCCCAGTTCAAATGTCAGTTAAGGAGTAAAAGTAATGTCTATTCAGAGACAAGTAAAATAGTGAGAAGATGATAGTGACATAAACAAGATGTATAAACATATTTTTTGTTGTTGTTGTTATTTTTGCTTCTGTTCCAGAGGTGACCACATGGCGTGGCAGACCTTTCCTGACCCGCCTGCTGCTCCTCTCAGCAGTGTACTTCGTCAGTGGGCCTATTCCGCTCCCCACTCTGTCTCTGGTGAATCCTCTCACCTCCCCTGCACCTCTGGCCTGTACCCCAGTTCTGTATGCATAAATAAATAAATCTTTAAAAATAAAATCCTGCTGTTGTACCACAGATTGTAGAAAATTACCCCAATTGAAGATCAAAGTTCAAAAAGTTTTGTTAAAGAGATGCATCTGTGGATGAAACGAAGTGAACATTAACTATATAAAAATTATTATTGCCTTGTAGGATTAAAATTATAGAATTAAATTACAGTTTAGTGGCCCTGCCTGGTGGTGCAGCGGGTTAAACCACTGCACTGAGAAGCTAACGCCACTTGAGCATGAGTTGATCCCGGGTGGTCCCCAGAGGTAACCGACATGGTGTGGCAGACCTCGCCTGACTCGCCCGCAGCTCCCCTCAGCAGTGTACTTTGTCGATCTGCCACTTCTGCTCCCCACTCTGTATCTGGTGAATCCTCTCACCGCCCCTGAGCCTCTGGCCTGTACCCCAGTTCTGTATGCATAAATAAATAAATCTTTAAAAAAAAGTTATAGTGTAGCAGTTTAATAGTTGGGATCAAAGGAATCACATCACAATGTTTAATATTTCAATAACAGACTTCAAAACAGTAAGGTGTTATTTGAACTTCAAGGAGAAATTTATCATCATGGCTTTTGGTATAATCTATTCAATTGTGTATTAATTTTTACTTCTTGTCCTTTCTGCGTGAATATTAAGCAATTAAAAATATTTTCAGAACATTTGCCAGGAACAACTTTCCATCATTAAAACAATTAAAAATTGTTTGACATGCTGTTTTTATGATTGCACAGCATTTTCTTGCCTAAACATATAATCGTTCACTTACTATTATTCCCAAAATAATGTTAAGTATTAAATTATTACATTTGAGGATGGTTAACATGGGAATCTTTTGGAATTTCTGTTTTCAATAACTACTACTTATTGTAGCTATTAAACAAATGAGGATACAGAAGGAAACCAAATGACCATGACCAATTTCTTCGTAAGTGGCTATGACTGTGATGTAACTAAATTTTATAAACTGTGTGAGAAATGCCTTGCCTTACCACCCCATCCCACTTTAGGCTTTCTGAAACAAGTCTGTACAATCTGAGATTCAAGACTATCTCCATGTAGTCATAGATGTTTAGTCTGCTTAAACTTTTTTTTCTACTTTCTTACATTTTTCACATTTATACAATATGTGTGACCCCCATAAATCTCCCATCACCATAGAACTTTGTGCTTCCCCCCACCACCACCATGTAGATCTCAGATCTATAATTTTTGTCTTTTTTTTCTAACCTGTTGTTCAGTTTCCTTATTCCTTCTATGAGTGAAACCATCCAAGATAATTCTTTTTGAAAAGAATTGAAAAAGTCATTTTTGAAATGTTTTACTAAATGTTAATTTTATCAACATACCAGATATTCAGTTTGGAATATCATAATTTGGAACCAACATATCCACAATAAAAAGATACTAGTGTTTTGGGGGAGATTTTTAACTTTCTTGGTTTTTGTTTTGTTTTGTTTTTAGAAACCACTAAGTTTTATATGACAGAGATAATTATTCAGCCATCCGAGAGAAATTTTTCCATCATATCAAGGTACAAATAACAAATTAAGTGTATTCTGTCATTTCAAATGTAGAGAAAAAAGTTCAGTTTATTATGTGGGAGTTCATTTTGCTTTATATCTCTTTATTTGAAAAAGTAAAAATAAAACCTTTGAGGAAAGCTTTCAGATTTTGAACCAAACCACACATAAAATCTTGAGAATTTAATTTTGTTTGCTTATATAATACTATAGACAAATGCATCCATACAAATATTAATTTTCAGAGTAATTCATTCTTTTTTCAATAGGCCAAATGTCCAAAGTCTTATAGCCTAATTGTCAATAACTACTTCTGGTTTTAATTTGACTTTTTGAAATGTAAAACATGGATCATTTTCAAGTGATTCCTCTGTGTGTGTGTGTGTTTTAATGATAGATGGTAAAACCCATTAGTGTTTCTCTGAATCTTTTTAGTTTGCAAACAAGTTAACTATTGCATGTTTTTATTTCAGTTTATAATGTCTAAATATTTTGGAAACCTGAATATATCCTCAAACACTACCCTTTTGTAAACACTTTAATTCTGTACCTCAGAGCTGACAATTAGAGGGGTACAAATGGAAAACATTGTTGAAAATATTGTTTTCATGTTTGGGAGGAAACATTGAAATTTCTTTTAAACTTATTCAACGTTTAATTTGTCATTGCACAGATGGATTATGGCTAATTGGACATATTGTTTATTCTATGGGGAAATGAAACGTTTTGGGATAGAAAACATAGAATTGGCAAACAAGCAAACACTTCAAAATTTATTAAAGTTCACATTAGCACCACTCTGAGAGAATGAGCCTTAGGTACCCTGGGGTATTTTTGACTCACCTTGTCTGTTTGAGTTATTATGAGAAGCTCATTGTAAAAACTGATTTATGTTCAAACAGGTCTCAGTTTGTACAGAGTGTTATCACCCAGTGTCTAGTGGAACTCTCCTCTGCGAGAAGCACTTTTAGATTTGCTATTCAAGGTGAAGACGGCAAAGTGTACATCTTGGTGAGAAATTATTTCATCTAGCTTTTTATAGTCTAGTAATCCAGCACCTCAACATTTCTGTAGTCTTTGTTATTCTTTTCTTTTCATTCTAGGTTTAGAAAATAAGTGATCAAAAATTTCATTTCAATGCTTCACTCATAGATAAAAACTCCCTTAGGCTGTGTAGTGCCTCTGTATTAAGTACTGAAGAAATAGACATAAACCCTGATTCTTGGTGTGTAGAAGCTCACACCTCAGAATATATTTTTTCACTATCAGTTTTTTATGACTTTTTTTGGTCAGTATAACACAATTTGATTTTTCTCACTTTTCTTCCCATGTCTTTGCACTTTTTCTTTCTAGTATCATAATTTGATACTCATTTAAAACATGTCCCATTGCTTCTGTGCCAGGAACACTTTAACATGAGATATCTTTAGAATTTGTTCATCTTGCCTAACTGATATTTTACACTAACTTTAACGTTGATTAGTAATTTCCTGTTTCTCTCTTCCTCTGTCCCTGACAATTACAATTCTACTCTATGTCTGTGAATGACTATTTTAGACAGCGCATGTACGTGAAATCTTGCAGTATGTGGTTCTGTAGTATCTGGCTTTTTTCTCACTTCACATAATGTCCTCAAGGTTCACTATGTTGTGGCATACTACAGGATTTCCTTCTTATAAGCTGAATAATATTTTACTGTATTTTTCCATATTTTCTTTATCCACTTTTCCATTGATGAACATTTGCATTGTTTCTATGTCTTGGCTATTATAAATAGCCCTATAATTATTATATTTTGAGCAAAGTTGATACTAAGTGCACCTATTGTCTGTTGTCAGGGTTTTTTTATTGTTTTTGGTTTTTTGTTTTGTTTTGTTTTTTGTTTTAAGATTTCTTTATTTATTCATACAGAATTGGGGTACAAGTCAGAAGTGCAAGGACAGTGAGAGGATTCACCAGAGACAGAGTGGGGAGCAGAACAGGCAGATCAATAAAGTACACTGCTGAGGGGAGTAGTGGGCGGGTTAGGAGAGGCCTGCCATGCCATGTGGGTCACCTCCAGGACTGGGGATGGAACTCACACTGAAGCGGCTGCAGCCAGCTTACAGTGCTGCATCCTAACCCGTTGCACCACCAGGGAGGTCCCTGATGTCAGTTTTAATTTTCATTTGTTGGAAGGGTTTCAAGTTACTGATTTTCAAGAAAAATTAGGAGGAGGAACTTTTAAATCTCCTATCCATAAATTTAAAAATTATAAAAGTAGTATATTCCTGGCTCTCCCTGGTAGTGCAACGGGTTAAAGCACCACATTATGAAGCTCTCTGAAGCCACTACAGCACAAGTTCGATCTCTGGCCAGGGAGCTGACCCACATGGTGTGGCAGGCCTCTTCTGATCTACCTGCTGCTCCCCTCAGCAGTGTACTTTGTTGATCTACCTGTTTTGTTCCCCACTCTGTCTCTGGTGAATCTTCTCATCCACTGTGCCTCTGGCCTGTACCCAGCTCTGTAAGCATAAATAAAAAAATATTTTTAAATAAATAAATAAAATTTTAAAAAATGGTGATCTCCTCATTTTGTTGCCTGTCCTAGCCTGCTGTATCATTCTATGTGGAGGCAATCACCATTAATAACATGATATGTATGTTGCTGCATTGCCCCTTTATTTATATACCACTCTCTCTATATGTTCACAAGTATTTGTTTGTACAAACCAACCAAAAATTTGTTTGTAATTGCCTTAGTCTTCAGCATGCTTCCTATAACACTGTACATGAAGATCATTTCTTGTTAGCGTAAATATAGATTGAACTCTTCAGTGGCTAGGATTCCATTCACCAGCTAAGATAGTGCACTCCTTTAACTGTTGTTTTTTTCTTTTTGTACTTTATGTTTTTTTGTTTGTTTGTTTTAGCAGTGATTTTTCACATAGATCAAACAGTGATATCCTTATGTTTGTGTTTTGTTCTCTAACCTTTTAGCTATGGCTTTTGAACTCTGACAGTTTGGTGATTGAATCTTTTGGAAATTCTAAAATTGTCAAAAAATTCCCGCTATTGGAAAACATATTAAAGGCAGATTCCAGTTCTGCTTGGACTGCTGTCAAGGTTCTCTACCAACCATGCATCAAAAACAGAAACAAAACGTAAGTTTTTCTTTCTTTTCTCATTCCACATGTCTTAGTTTCTTTTGCCACATTGGTTTTAAGAAATGAATGAATGAAATGGTACTATACTTTTTTCTACTTGAAGCTTCTAGAAGTCATACTACTAAATATTATGCTTTCAAAGTGGATTGAATTATTACAGATTACTTATACTAATGTGCAGAAAGTTCACTTTTACTGAAAATAGTTATTCTTTTCCTATTAGCTGTCTGTACATATGACTACAGTAATAATCAGGGGTCTATGATTATTTACTGATGGATGCTTTTCAAGCACTAGGATAGTGAACAAAATACAGTTCCTGACTCCTGGAGTTGTCATTATAGCAGTAGGAAGGTAAACCACACGCAAAACAGACATAAATAAATAAAAAGCTAAATGACTTTTGCTATGAGTCTGGTACTCAACTGTGGTCTTCTAGTTCAGTCTAGTTCAGTCATGTCTCAAAATAACCCTGTAGAGTGATTTGTTGATGGGAAACCCGTGGGGATTACAATTGAGATGAAAAAAAAATGTGCAAAATGATGTAAAAATAAACTTTTTAATAAAAAAAAAAAAATAACCCTGTAGAATATCATCCCTATTTAAAGCCAGGCCACTAAGACATGGGTACTAAATTACTGTAGTATAATCTAAAACAAGTTTAGGTACTTGGAGAGTGATAGAAATGATATAGGAGATTGTCATTTTTTATTGAAATGTTAAGAAAGATTACACAGATAACATAGGTAAGTGGAAAACATGAAGGAAGTGAAAGAATGAGTCATAACTGAGGGAACAGCTCTGTGGCAGAAGGAACAGAAAATGTTCTTTTTGAAAGGTTGGAAGTTTATATTTGTCCTATTTCGCAAATGGGTTTAATCATGTGTACTAAAACAGAAAGATCCCAGTCATTTTTGGGGAAGTAAATAAAATTAAAATATTTTTCTTTTCTTTTTTAAAATTAATTAAGCAGCACAAATCATAAAATCTTCGAACACTAAAGCTATACTATATCACTATGTCCCTCTCTAGATGTAAAATGTATGTATTTGTCTAATTCTTTTTCTATTTATTTTGCATCTTATCATAACTTGTGTAGATCATGTATTTTTACACACACACGTACACACACAAATACTGTTTTTGAGACTTTTTCCATGTCGATGTTGGGTCTTTTATGAAATGGATGCACTGTGAGTAATTAATAATTTTTTATTGATAGATATTTGAGTAATAACTTTTTTGCTGCTATAATTACTATTGTGCTGTGTATTGTTTATTTGTTTTATCATTATATGTAGATTTTTATAAGAGGGATTTCTAGAAATAGAAACACTGCATAAAGAGCAAGACATTAAAAAAATTGAGAGATACTAACTTGTTTTGCAAAAAAGTTTTGTAAATTTATACCTCCCACCTAAAGTTCCTATAAACACCTATTTACCTGCGCCCTCACTCAAAATGCCCTTTTAATATAAAGCCTTTTATAATCATCTTATTTATTTGAAATGTAGATTTATAAATGATTTATGTATTAAATCTTGACTATAATTTTGGGAAAGTTGTTTTGCTCTGATCATGATACTAGTTTTCACATTATATATTTTGAAACTGTTATTAAGTACACAATAGTTTATGACATGACAACTGGACTAATTGCATATTTTGCAAATAGGTATTTTATTCTTTCATTTGATACTATTTTCCTATAATTTGCCTGTTATTAGTATTACTAATGTTCAAATTGACATCTAAAAATTAGGTTGATAACTTCAGTTTACTTAAAATCATTTCTTTGGTTGTGCTTTTCCTCCTGCTACTGTTTGACTATGTCTCCCAAAAGTGAGGGGGTAATTTTGCAAGTTGGACAAGGTGAGATACTTTTGTATTTTTAAGGGCATAATTTTCTTTCTTTTGGCACATGACTAAGCAAACTGTAGACTCTGGCATATTTTTGGACATGGAGTGGTACATTAACTATTTTAATCCAAGGGGCTGGAATTTTTTTTCCAGGGAAATGTGGATTGCCAGATGGAAATCTAAAAGAGGAAAATAGCAAATCTAACTATGGTCTTATTTCCTTGAGCACATACAAAAAAGCAGAGTGTAATATTTTTAGAATATTCTTTCTTTCTAGCAAAAGACACATGTCTCAACATTTTGAAATCTATTGTTTTGTAACCCTCCTGCCCTCCCACCCAGTTACCTGAAACTCATATTCTCTATTTTGCATATCAGAGTTTTGATCCTATGTATTAACTAATTTTCAGTCTCTAAATTAGCTTCTGTTATTTAATTCTGCTAGTTTAGCCATTTATATATGGCCTCATAGTCTTTGTTGAAGGTAATTTTTGTGCTTTAGGGACATTTGGTAGTATCTGGAATCATTTTGGTTGCAAAAGGTTTCTAATTTTGCAACATCCTGAACTACACTTGTTATTTTCTGTTTTGTTTTTTCTTTTTTATTATTAGTAGCCATTCTAATAGGTTTGAAGTGGTAACTCGTGGTTTTGATTTACATTTTTTTCTGATGATTAGTGATGTTGAACATCTTTTCATTTAGTATTGATCGTTTGTATATCTTCCTTGGAAAAAGATGTGTTAAAGTCCTTTGCCCATTTTTAACTTGAATTGTCCTTTTTTGTAGTTGAATTGTAGAGGTTCTTTATATGTTCAGATATTTACCCTTTATGAAACATAAGACCTGCCAATATATTTTCTCTTTCATAGGTTCCCTTTCATCTCCGTTGAGCATGTCTTTTAATACAGAGTCTTTAAATTTGCTATATTTGTCTAGTTTTACTTTTGCTGTCTGTTGGTGTCATATCATAGAAATCATGTCCAAACTCTGTTCAATTTTGATGCTCCACAGCTGATGTGGCAGAGACTATCATTGCTTAAGATTCAAGTGTCATCAACCCCTAAAGAGCCATCTCAAGTGAATGTCTTCTACTTCCTCATACAAGAGGCACAGGATGACACTGTTTGTGCAGACCAGTTGGGGACATTTACTTTGCAGAGTACAGTAAACTTAAACATCGGGTGTGAATATACAAGGCTTAAATTTTGTAAGTGAGGAAACTGAGGACCAATAAGAGAAATAAGTGCAGTTTGTCAATTTTTTGGTTGGAGATAGAGGCAGCAATACAGCTAGGTTGTCTTGAGTCCAAATTCACTGCTTTTTCATTATGTAGCCCCTCACCTTAAACTTTCAGATCAGAAAATATCTTAATGAATGTAAATTGTTCCTCAAGAGCAATTCCCCTAGTAGTTTAAAATATATCAGCATTTTGATTGCTCGTCTAAATATACTGCTTACTAGCAATACATTTTGTGAATACTGCAGCATTTTAGTATGTAACATCAGTAGCACAAATCTCAGACTTGTAGCGTGTTCATATATGTATGATCTTATATCAGAATTCAAGCATACAAAATACAATTTTTCCCCGAAAAGTCTGTTTCCCTTAGCCTTAGGATAAAACGCCATTGAAAGGAAACTAATCTAAAAATACAGGAAAGTAATCAGATACTTCTGGGAAAATCTAAATACTACTTTTGAAAACACTTTTAACACATTTGCTTAGAACTTTATTGTTAGAACTTTATTGTCACCAGGATTTACTCATCTAGAGACTGGTCTTCATTATAAAGCAAGCTGACATACATGTCTTTGATTTGTAATTGGAATAATCTCTCCACTAAGTGTACTGTGAAAATATAGTAGCCTAAATTCAAAGTTATTGTATTTGGAATCCCTATATGACCATGAAATGATTGGTAATCAGTAAAGAGGTTTTTTTGTTTGTTTGTTTAAGAGATCCCAATCAAAGCAGGTTTCCTATGGAAAGCAGTTAATCTCTTTGGATTGCTTTCTTGGGGGGGGTACGGAATCTGGTTTCCTTCCTCTGAGGACAGAATATGAGACAACACAGTCCTGGCTTGTGAGAATAAAAGGGGGGAAGGGACCAAGTTTGGATAAAAAAAGGGGAATGCAGATATGAAATGTTCTGTCACTTTCTGAGTTTTCTAATCATGTTTTAAGTGTTTCTATGAATAAGACCTAGAGCTTTTTACTAACTTTCACATCAGAAGGGTTTGGGTATTTCTTTTTCCTCCTTTTCTTTTCTCTCTTACTATGCTTGGTATTGTATGTGATTCCAAAACAAGAGGGCAAAAATTTCTACCTAAAGGAGCTTACAGCAAATTTAAAGCAATAATGGTTGGTATAAAGAATTCCTTCAGAGATCAAAATCTGCATACTTGCTGAGAAACAGATTTTCGTGAAAAACAGTGTTCATTAGCTGAATTGAAGACAAAGGGGCGCAGGTGAGAAGTTCTCTCTCTCCTCTTGCTCTCCCACACCTTGGTGAAAACAGAAAAGGTCTGAGCAGAGAAAGTGTTGATGTTTTCATATAGTGGGCTCTGGGGAGCTTCACAGGCTACTGTCCACTGAGCAGCATGGTGGGCATATATGGTCATCTACCCCAGGATGACCCCATTTATCTGTTTAATATATTAGGTCTCTGTTACAAAACTGTATTTCCAGACTTCTGTGCCACATTAACATGGTTCACCTTATTTGGTTGGTTTTGCTTTATTGAGCTGAAATCTGCCTCCTAGTTTCTCCAGAGCTGCCAAAACCTACTCTTCTATTTCCCCAATATTATAGCTTATATTACGTTGGTACTTTTTTCAACTCTAAGAAACCAAATAACTAACATTACCATTCACTAAATTCCTGACTTTATTAGCGAAAGATGTGGTATATTCTTTTGTCCTACTTCCTAGTGTAGCATCCAGTCCATGTCACCATATTGCATTAATTTGCCATGTCTGCTCTGACTTGTGGTGGTCTTGCATACTTCCTTTATGTCTTCATGGTCTTGAGAGTTTTGAGGAACAGTGGTGATAGATTTCATAAATGTTCCTTGATTTTATTTTATCTGATTTTTTTTCATTGATTAGACTAGCAGTCCATGGCATTGTGTTCGGGG